AAGCTCTCCACACACTCACCGGACCTGGGCTAGGACTCTCAGATTGACTCTTTGAGGAAATATTGTTCCTTGGGTAATGTCCTATACTTTCCCTAATAATTCATAGTACAATTTAACTTTTTTCTTAGTACCGTATGGTTTTCATTTTCATTTTTATTAATACATGTTTGTCGTCACATTGATCACATCCATTGTGGGATGTTGGTGCATTTCCATACCACATCCTAACGCTTGCTATGACTCCTTTCCCTACATTCCCTCTCTAACCCTCTGTCACTTCAACCTTGTAATTTGCAGGAGGTCTCTGTATTTTGCAAATAAAAAGCAGTAAGTCGAAGAAAGATAAAGTATTTTTACCAAGACTACACAAAGGAGAATTTTAAATAAATAGAAAGATAATAGTTAAACAAATAAATATTAGCTCTAAGGTTTTGCCTTTAAAGGTCTTGAGAAAAAATAATGGTGGGGCAGAGTATTTGATTATGAGATATTAAACGTTAGCCATTATGGGATGAGTATCCATTGGAAAATGTTACTGTAGTTTGGACCGAGGAGATAGCTCAGTAGAATAAACACTTGCCTGGCAAGTGCAATGGCCTGAATTCAATCCCTGCTTTAGCCAAAAAAAAAAAAAGAAAGAAGAAGAAGAAGAAGAAGAAGAAGAAGAAGAAGAAGAAGAAGAAGAAGAAGAAGAAGAAGAAGAAGAAGAAGAAGGTGGCCTTTCGAAGGAAGGTTATTATAGCAACAATTTATTTTTTTTATTTTTAAAAGTGAACATAGCTGGTTCCTCTCGGAGCGGAGACGGCAAACGGCAGACTTCGATGCCTGTGACGACTGGGCCTACAGCAGCTTCGGCGGTGGCAGAGGGTCCCGCGGCAGTGCTGGTGGCCGTGGTTCCCGTAGCCAGAAGGAGCTGCCCACAGAACCCCCTACGCAGCCTATGTAGGAAACCTCCCTTTTAAAACAGTTCAGGGTGACACAGACACTATCCTTAAGGATCTCAGCATAAGGAGCGTACAGCTAGTCAGAGGCAAAGACGCAGACAAGTTTAGAGGATTCTGCTATGGAGAATTCCATGAGGTTGACTCCCTGAAGAAAGCCCTGACCTACGACGGTGCACCGTTCGGTGACCAGTCACTTCGTGTGGACACTGCAGAAGACAGAAAACAAGATAAAGGTGGCTTTGGATTCAGGAAAGGAGGAGCAGATGACAGGGGAATGGGTGGCTCTCGAGAATCTAGAGGAGGCTGGGATTCCCGGGATGACTTCAGTTCTGGTTACAGGGATGACTTCCGAGGAGGCCGAGGATGCAGTCGCCCAGGGGACCATCGAGCAGGCCCTGCCGTGGGGAGTTGCTTCCGAGATGGCCCCCCGCTGTGCGGCACCAACATGGACTTCGGAGAACCCACAGACGACGATGAAAGAGCCCAGAGACTTCGGCTCCAGCTCACACCTCGGACAGTGGCTACACCCCTCAACCAAGCAGCCAACCCCAGCTCCACCATCTTTCGGGGGAGCCAGGCTCAGAGAGGAAGTTGTGAACAAGGAGCAGGAACGGGCACGCAGGGGGAATGGGGTGTAGGGAGTTAGAGCGAGATTGCAGCCAATGGCCTACACTTGCTGCCCTGCAGACACCGTGCCTGTACCTGACAGTGGTACAGGCACGTCCTCCTTCCTTACAGTGGAAACACCGAGCTTGTGAATGCATGTCAGCTGTTAACGAGTGGTTTTTAGTACATCCTCCGCTTTGCTGTACCTAGCTAGTGCCTGCTTTGTGCTCTTTATTTTTTTCCTTCTCTATCCTCATCTTCTGTCTGTTCTCTCTGTTGCCCCCGTGTCTGCAGCACGCAGTTTCTGAAGGAGGCGTGAGGCCTGCCCTGTGAGGCGCAGGCCCAGGTGCTGCTTGCTTTGGTTCTTCTCCTTTGCCTTCTCTTTATTTTCCACATGGGCCAGACTTGGTTTTTCTCAGTGCTTCTCTTCTGACCCGCATGCTGAGTTCTGTGTCGCTGTGGCTTCCAGGAAAGAGCAGAAGTTGCTGGCAAGTTGGCCAGCTGTGGTTGGTATGCTGAATTGGATGCACCTTGTATTGAAAATGAGGGAAAATTCCTGTTGATCCTTGCAGCCTCCTTCCACCCTTCTGGTCCTGCTCCTAGGGTGTCCTGTCACCATCAGCCCTCCCCAGGGGCTGGGCAGGCAAAGCAGGTGTGAAGCCCAGGAAGAGTGACAGGTGCGCTGGTGGTGCTCCTCACCTGTTACCCAAGGGCTCTGTGTGCTCAGGTGGTTTGCTGCACTGTCCAGAGACCATGTCCAGATAGTTCCTCTCTGGAGGCATCAGGCGCTCCCTACGCAGACTGTCGTGGCTGCCCAGTGGTTCGTATCGTTCCCACAGCTTGGGTGCTGTGGGGACTGGGCAGTGGTGGTGCTGGACTGGGCTGACAGTGATGTGGACCTAGCCTTCCCCTGCATCCCTGTTGTCTGTTGGGCGTCTCTCCCTTGCGTCTGTTCCCACAAAAGCAGCCTACTGAGATTGCTTCCCATGGTCCCTTGAGCCCATGGTGGAAATGGCCTCAAAACTGGCACTTTATTTCCCATGGTGAAAGTTTTCCTATGCCAAGCTGTCCAGACCCTCACTGACTGCCAAGGACTGTAGACGTTCTGGCTAGCCACCTCATGTCCGGGACCCACTTGCTGTCACGTGCAGTGGTTGGTGCTCATCTGGGA